GGCTGCTTGATTAAAGTCGAATACCCTGGGGAGAACAGCAACCTTGATTGATGTGTTATCCATTCCAGATAGCTGCTGATTAAAATGGATATAATGGCACGGATTCCCTAATGACCCGTACTGGATACAATCGAATACTGGGAAAAATGGGTACCTAAAACCCTTTCAAAGGTAAGATATTTAAACTAAATCCTAAAATGATATATCAGCTATAATCCAGTACAGAATGCATATACTTTCACTCAGTGCCATCTTCTTCGCTCCACTGCTTTTGAGTTTTTGTGTGGTGGAAATTGGATTTATTGGATGGGGCTTTATCCCCCACTTAGGTGGCAGTCGTCTGTCGGATCCGTCAGAGAGTCGTATTGACCTTAGCGAATCGATTGGCGGAGGCAATAAATGAATTCGTTCGCCGGCAATTTGCTGCACAATGCGATGCCATCGAGGATTCATGGCAGGCAGCGAAAAGCACGAAAATTGAATTGATGAGGATATATAATTCATATTAAAGCCGGATGTGTATATTAACTTTCACTTCAGCTGAAAGTAATTAAATGGCAATGTTTGCAATGCGACTGCTGATTAACGCGTATTGTTTATTCATTTACTCGGTTACGATTGAAAATGCTGGCAATTAAAGTGCGAAAGACTATTAGCCCAGTTGAAATATTAATCTACAGATTTTCCCTTTTCCGAATAACCCTAAAATGAAATATTTTCATAACACCTCAGTGGAACATTTTAAAGTTCACATGAAGCTACTGTCTTTTGACGTGAAATCAGCCAAATCAAAGGAAGTTCCGCTTAAGGCCCGATTCAATTTGTGGCCATTGCAGACGGAATGTACTTGTGTGCTGTTTATATATTCATGCCCAGCAGAAGCTGTTTTCCATCCGCTTTTTATTCGGGCAGCGCAAGCAAGCGGAAAATGTTACACATACGCCCCGTGTGACGGCAGACAGAAGCGATTTGTTTGTTTGTTTGCTCGGGTTTTGTGTCATTCCCCTCCCCCCTCCCCCCTGTCCCTGACTTCTGCTTTGTTGCATTTGCATAATGAGTTCTCCTTGGCCACGGCCGTCCGCCCAAGTCAAAGGTTGCAGGCACAGGTCGCTTTTCCACCGGTTTTCCCAGATTTTCCCCGCTTTTTTTTTGCCTTCAGCTGCCTGCAGCGAGTGGCACGTGCATGTCACAGTTACTGTATCGATGGACACGGCGAAAACTGGAAAATATTTCCCTTTACCACACTTTATAGTCGAGCATGTCGGTATTTACTGTTACTTGCGCATTTTACCTTTTCACAAAACAAATCTATTTGGCTTCAGTAGTGAAAAATGGCCAATTAATGGCTCGTTAATTTTTTTCACTGTTGGTGCCATGGAAATTTGTGCGCGAGCGGCAAAGTTTTGTTTTTGTTTGCAATTCGCGCCAAGGTCAAACCGGCTGTTCATTATCGCTGTGGGTTGTGGTTGTTTCTGCTCGAAAGGGGTTACAAGTAGCCACCCCCGCCAAACTGAAGTCGTACAGGGAAACAGGCAACTGGCAACTGGAAGCCAAAATAACGAGACATTTGTAAATAGTGAATACCCGAAATCAAGATTTCGGTTGCAGGCTGCTATAATGGGTGCCATAATGGCCCATTACGTATACGCAGCGTGGGCCATGGGACCGCAGTCAGCTGGCTAATTGACGACAGCAAAAGCGAGAGGGCAGAGAGGTGTGCATATAGAACGAGACCATATAGAACCGGTGGCTGGAGCGATCGGTGACTGCAAACTGAGAACCGGAGAACCGGAGAATCGGAGAACCGGAGAACCGGAGAATCGGAGAATCTCGGTGACTTTTCCAAAGTCGTGAGCGGAGAAAACCTGGCCGCAAGTCCGTGGGCCTGAAGGTGAATCGCTGGATGCTCGGAAAGCTCTCAACTGATATTGTTTTATTTCTTTATATAATTGTTTGGCCTGCGAGCTTTCCGCGATATATCCAGTATTTATCTTGCGACTATTTCGTAATGCTCTCTGCATCGTCTCCCCTTGATATTAATTAGTCCGGACCGGCACTTCCGCTATCGGAAGTTATCAGATCAATAGTTAATTGGTTTCCTGACGCAACGTTACCTCATCCTTATCGTGCATATTCACTTAATCACTTATTCACTTATACGTATGAACACAATCCAAGTCTTTGAATCTTTTAGAGCTCCAGACACGTTCGCGCTATCTATTTGAGTGTTTGTTTGTCGGAAACTTCGGCTTGACCTTTGGTTTCACTAATAGTTAAATATGGTCACTGTTTGATGGTCACTCGCGAGTCCTTGTGCTTTATTCAATACTTTCGGCTATGTCCTAGGAATGAGTAATATAGTCGTATGCCCGAACCGGATATATTTATTGCCCACTTGTGACTTTTCTATCTGAGGGATGCGCGCGATTTTCTCGGCTGTCATCCGCTGGCGTCGCGCTGCTTTTCCATTCTGAGCTGTCGGAATTATAGAAGCGAGAGCTTTTCCCGCTGTCAGTAACTTTTGCCGCCGAGAGAGCGCCGCAAATAATAATAATAAATGAAAGAGAACCCCTCGGCGATTGCATTTCCATTTCCATTTGAGATTCAGATTCAGATTCATATTCATTCCGATTCTCATTTCAGTTTGTTATGGTTTTTAGCGCGGGCTGTGCTGCACTGCAGTTTCCCATTAAACAATGCCATATGTGCAACTGCTATTCATAATGGCTAAGAGTTCATAATGGGGTCTAATCCGGGTGGTGTGATGTGCTCTGAGGTGGGCTAAAGTTCCCTAAGGCCGAGCAAAACACTTTTGATAATAGAAAAAGGCAGTGCGAGTCACGGGTGCACTGTGTTCGCGGAAGTAATTTGGTCCTAAGTGGCCTTAAGGTGCGACCATTGGCTCTGAGTATCTTGGCCGCATCTCCTACAATGCGGGCCAAGTTGTCAGGGACTAAACATTGATACCATAGCTTGCAGTGAAATATTCATATATAGATCGATCTCAAGTCCTCAATGAGTGTAAGTTCATAGCTTGCATTTTTGTACAGATACGATTGCTATTCGCGTGACCCCCGCTGTTCGCTCACATGCATGGCTGGCAAGGTCGCCATTTTCGAGCGTGCCAAGTGGTTGGCGATTCTTAAATTTGCCTGCACTCATTCACAGCTGCCGCGTTGCTCTGTTTACAATGTAAGCACGTGCTGCGAAATAACATACCAAACATGAGGAGCGACAGAGAGCTCAGCGCGGGGTGCGAAAGGGAGAGAAGATAGCTGGGACATTGCGTATACGCAGCGTTGGCCATCTGCGACGGGCACGTGAATGAAGCGTGTTTTGGGCGGGTACCAAAATAGCCAGGCGGGCGAGAAATTGCGTTATTATATCAGCGTCATTCAGCAGCGCTGCTCAAGAATTTCGGCAAGGCCGAACCATCCTACCAACTTTTCCGTGGGCGGAGTTTGTTGAATAAATTGAACAATTACGAGCAGCAGTTATGAGCAGCCAGTTGCACGAAGCGGCAGACATTCTTGGTTGAAGGTTAGCCAAATGTCGGTTCCACTCGGGTGTCCTTTTTGTGGCACGACAGGCACCAAGTTGGCGCAGCCAAAGGACCTCCACTTCCGCATTGTCACTCACAGGGAGTCCTGAAGCTCAAAAACCCACTGAATATTACTAATTTATTGTATTCGGCTTGCTGGAATTCATTTGTAACTGCCTGTTATCCTGAAGTATCCTTTGTTGCTATCCTATCATTTTCACTGTAATCTGCGAGTGGGGTAATCTGTTTTGGCTAAGCGGAAAGCACTTGCAATCCACTCAAGCTACAACATTGGGACTTAACTTGGCGGGAACAAGTTACCGTTGGCAAGCAGAAAGCGCTAAAGTTGCGCCGAAGATTGCATACACTGCCTTTAAATAAGCCGTTGACTTGGCATGAAATTGATTAGCAGTGTTCTGCGGAAGGGTAAGTTATAATCCTCCGATTCAGTGTTATTGCAACGCTATTTCCGTTCGTCGGCACTTTTGCTCTTTTCATTCCGCCGCCAGCCGCACTTATTTTTAGATCCGAGCACCTAATCCGCCACCACTGGCTGGGTGGGTGGCCCGTGGGGCTGGTGGGGCTGGTGGGGGTGGCTCTGGTAATTAAAGCGCAAACTGGCGCCCACTTGTGGGGGCTTCGGTGGAAGACAAAGGCTGAGCTGCAGGAGCGCACTTACTTCTTGGCATCGGGCGACTGGCAGAGTGGGTGTCCAATTAAACGGGAGCGGGATGTGCATTGGCATTATCAGCGGCTCGGCGGGCGGCTTGAACTGCTTGGACTTTTGGCTTCGGCGACACCCAGCAGGGAGCAGCAGGAGGAGGTTCCAGCAGGTGGTCACCAGGTGGGCGGCGCACAGCGAATTGTTCCTTTATCGATTTTACGCACTTAAATCCGCCTAATTCAGCGCCCGATTCGATTCACTGCCACTTGGCTGTGGCTGGATATTGGTTCCTGCTCCTCAAATGCACCCAGGTGGTTGGAGGCGACAGCTGCTGCACTGGGAACAGCTCGGAAAACAGGACCGTGCCAGACGAGAAAACGCGCTAAACTGGATGACAACATGGAAAACATTGGCTAACAGGGCTCCAAAAGGTGGTTGCGGTGGGAAATGTTAGCAGCCGAGGGAAATGTTACTTTCCCACCCTTATGTTCTGCGAAAATAATAGAGTGCGGTATGGGAAACCCTTTAATGAATCGCACTGCAATACATTCATTATAAATTTATTGTTATTGCTGAAAAGAAGTGCAGCTTTTCATTTGCTGCGGAAAGTGCTATGCTTAACTGAGGGAAATCCTCCAGCTGAGCTGCTGGTCGGAAAATCACAGCGCCACCTTTCGGTCAGGCTTTCAATATGAACGATTTAAAATGAAAAATAACAAACGCCTGAACCGACTTTCCCCAATTCAGCTCCCTACAAAGCTTGGTCAGCTAGCAAAAGCCATTAAAACTGAAAAATATGGGCAGCCATAAACCATAGTCATAAATATTTATTCAGTTTAGTACAATAGGTAAGCATGCAGTTTAATAATAGCATTTAATGATGATTCGTCTTTGAACAACAGGTTATTGCAAGTAGTAAGCCGTAGAAGGACACGACTCCTCCTTGGAGCGCCCCGAATAGTTTGCACTGTAAGCTGAGTGGGTGTGTGCCATTGTGGGTGAGATTGCCGGGATTTCCCGGCGAGAGCATAACATATTAGTTATATATAGTAGATAGTAACGAACGCAGGGGTAAGCCACAATTGAAAATCACATTGGAGGTTCTTAAGTGAAAGAACGCAACGAACCAAGAGGCCGGAACGCAATAAACAACAACAAATGCCGCCGAGTGCTATAAGTGGTGTGTGGACGATCCTCGGGATCAACAGCTTGCAAAAATACACATCTCTCTGTTTGCCGAAAATAGTTGTTCTCTCTATCTGCCTAAATCTCTGTAATCTCCATGCTCAATCACTGTTTGCCACCCGAAACTGGAGCTATTGCTAGACGTGATCGATCGGTCCTTTTGAGTGACTATCTCCGCAGGTCGATGACCTTGATCTTGGCCTGGTTGTCCATTCGGATGTGCTGCGCCTCCATGAAGAGCGGCGGGTCATTGGGATGCGGATGAAAGCCCGACTGGCGACATTGGGCAATGTAGTCCAGGCCGTAGTGCGGCGTGAGTATAAAGAAACCAGTGCTGCAAGCGGAAGACAGGGATACCAGATAATCAGGTGCCTGCTGCATTGACTCATGGGATGACTGATGACTCACGTGTTGTACTTGGGCGCGCACACGATGGCCAAGGCTTCGGGCATCATAATCTGATAGGAGCAGTGCGTATGCAGGTCAACGGAGGACAAAAACGCAGTCTGAGTGGGATGGGTCTGCGGAGGAAGGTTATTATATCAATTCAACGTTGTAAAACTATGAATTCGCAACCCACATGGATCCACCCCAGCGTGATCAGCTGCATCTGATCCTGCACATCGAATATCTGCTCCTCGTGCATCGTGTTGCAGCTGTCCGGAGTTCCCTGCTGCTGCGGCGTGATGATGTGGGTGATGTACAGCTGGTTCTGGGACAGATGACCAGCCAGTACGCCGCACGTCTCGATGTTCTTCGAGGTGTTGGCGAGGGCCAGCTTCAGAAAGACCTCCATTGTGTCCCCGGGCACGTGAACAAGGCGCAAGGAGCCAGCCAGCAGAGAATCTGTGCGGTTGTAGGATGGCTTCTGGTTGCGATCGAAGCTCGGCTTGGCACTGGAAATATAGAGATTTTATGAATTACGCTGGTTCGACAAGCAAGCTCACAAACATTCGGTTTGTTTGGGTTTCCAATTTCAAAAATCGAATAAGTAGAGCACATTTTATAAAGCTAACATGAATTGGAGCCCTTCTGTGGTTACGTGTAAACAGAAATTCTTGAGGCTTCATCATTTAAACTATAAATACACATAAGACTGTGCATTTATCATTCGGAATTTTGTTTAGAGTACGAGGAGAAGTGTGTACACTCATCAGATTTCTTGACTTGTTCACTTCTCCTAAAAAATTGTGGAATCTCACTTGGTAGTCTTGTCGGCGGCTGCTTCGCTGGCGGCGGGCAGTAGGAGGCCGGATCCCGGCAGGCTGCGATTGGCGCCCGTGGGAAAGTCATTGGGGTAGACCACCTGGTCAAGCAGGCCCATGTCCGGAGCCGATGGCTGGTTGCCCTCGTCGATGAGCACGTGCAAATTGGCCGGGATGAGGGATGGAATGCCACTGGAGCCTGCCTTCTCCCTTTCCTTCTGCCGCTGACGTTCCCTTTCCCGCTCCCGCTCACGCTCCCGTTCGCGCTCCAGCTCCTTGACCCGCTCCGCCTCCTTGCTGGCCAGGAACTGCTCGTACTCCCTTTGGTAGTGCGTTAGTAGCTTGGCCCTCAGTTTCTCCGTCGTGGGCATTATCTCGTCCTTAATCTTCCTGTTTATATCCCGCACCTCGGCCTTGACGCTGCCGTAATCCGGGTGCTGGCGGATCTTCTCGATGAAGAGGGTCATGTAGCGCAAGTACAGGATGAATGCGTTCTCGTGGTTGCCCTCCCGCAGGTAAACATTGGCCATGCGCAGCATCTCGGTGCCAGAGCGGTAGTACCTGCAAGGACATTGGCTGAGTGTGAGGAACCCGCAAGTGAGAGCACACAAGTCCTTGGCCAACCAAGGTCACAGCCTTGTGGGGAAACGGCCCTGGAAGCGAAGGACTCACCGCGTGACTGGCATGTTCTTGTCCACCTCGATCAGGTTGCCGCAGTGCGACAGGTGCTTCATCCTCTCCTGCGGCTCCACGTCGCCCATGTTCATGTTGTTCACAGCCTTCGACATGGTTTCACTTGCTCCTCCTGAAGTTCCAGCTCTTGCTCGTGCTTTCCACTGCCCTGTTGACCGGCAGTCCTTTGGCTATTGTCTTGGGTTGCTGCTCGCGCGACTTGGACGCACTTGTGCTTGTCAATTAGCTGCTATTCCGCAATCTTCTTTCGTGGAGAATTACTCATAATTACGCAGGGCGTCCTCTGAAAAAGCTGGAAACAGCTGTTCTCCCACGCAGTCAGCTGTGTGCGATAGACCGCGGAGAGTCATCGACGGCCTATCGGTACTAATCGATGCTGGTAGTAAGGGAAGAAATATCGGTTTTCGAAACGAACGTTACTTTTTGAATTTATTGTTATTTTGAGTAATTTGTCGCTGCAGCTTATAAATGTCAATGTGTATATCTGCTACTGCGATAGAGAATTGCTTGACCTTAATACTTTACCTTTATTTTGTAAAGGTTTATAAAATGAGCATACATGTTGAATTAATAAGATGGAAAGCGCGCATATAAGTTTTGAAAACTGTAGTGGCCAGCATAAATCCATCAGTTTGTTCGTGTTGAAGGTGACATAATCATAGAGGAGTTGAAAGCTAATATTAGATTAAAGCCCTCTAAGAGCACGTTGCAAATTTGGGTTCTAGAAAGCGAACCGTATATTCTCCTTCTAATTGCACGTACTTAATCCGTATCGCTGAAAATAAAACACTGCTAATCTGGGCAATATACTCAAAGTCAAGCGATAGTTTAACCTTATCAATCGGTCATTTTAAAGACCCCTCAGTTGGATCGATCGTAAAAAATCTATGAGCTGCCCATTCAGTAGTAGCGCGTGGTTCGAACCCGAAAGAAGTCCGCAGAAAACTTGTTTCTGGGGTGAGTTCACTTTCAAAGTAAACCATATACATATAGCGAGTTCCAACCCATTGTACGTTCAAATATCGGCGACTTGGAGTGCGAAACTCTCTTGTTTGCTGGAGTCAAAGTGCGCACTTGTTTACCTACTGCTATTAGCAATCTCGCACTGCCGATCTGCGAAACTAACGATATGATAAGCTATCTGCGGATTATTTAAAGCATGCCCAACGGGCAGAACCAAGAGTACATGTAGAGAAATGGGGGATCTTTCAATTAGATGCATATCAAGAGTGTTCTATTGTGATTGAATATCCGCACAGAGCTATCATAAGATACTAAGATGCTGAGATACTAAGATACTAGGATGCCAGGTTACTAAGATACTAAGATGCTAAGATACTAAGATACTAAGTTGCTAGGATGCTAGGATGCTACGATGCTAAGATGCTAAGATGCTAAGATCCTAAGATGCTGGGATGCCAAGATACTAAAAAACTTAGATGCTTAGATACTAAGATAGTAGGATGCTAGGAAACTAAAATTCTGAGATACTAAGATACAAAGTTGCTAAGTTGCTAAGATATCAAGATGATAGGATGCTAAGATGGTAAGATACTAAGATGCTAAGATGCTAAGATGCGAAGATGCTAGAATACTTAGGTGCTCAGATAGTAAGATACAAATTAGCAGAATTAGTATAGCTTGCGTTGCTCACATGCGTTTCATATCTGCACCCATTTCTTAACATTGTGATTGATGGCGTTCGCAGTTCCCATCAAACATGTATTTGTTTGAGCGAATGGTTGACCGCTTGAGCGACTGACTGACTGAGGGATTGATGGCCACTGAGAGAAGCCGAAAACCCATTCACAGATTGAATCGCCGAGAGCCGAAGTGGCCGATTGAGGTTCGGATTGAAATCGAGCGCGGCTTGGCTTCCAGCCGAAATGGTGGACTCGATGCGATCAGTCGAGTGCCAGCTTGGGCGCAAAACGGGCGACGAGCCAATCCCACGGATCGGTTTTCACTGCGAGATAGTTTCGTTTTGGAGGGGAGGGCTTCGAGAGGCAAAAAAGAAAAAAATCAAAAAACAAACTGTCGCGTTCGTGGAAAGATAAATAAATCGAAAGAGTGGGGCCCAGCGTGTTTTGAAATCGCTTTTGGCATCGACAAGCGCCAAACTGCAACTGCAAATGCGGCACATTATCCATTAATTGGGCAGATAACGAGCGTGTGATAAGCGCAGAGCAGACATATGCAACTACAGCCGCTTTTGAACAGTGTATGTGAGTGCTGGAGGCAGTAAGCCAGGGTCAGGCTCGAATGAAAAAGGAGTTCACATTGCATAACCCCCAAACCTCAGACCTCAAAAACAAGTCCAAGCTTCCCGAAATCAGTGCAAGTAACCTCAGATATGTGTATGTGTATAGTACATAGCCTGCTCATCTTATAAAAGGCTCATCAAACGAAATCTTCTGTAATTTGCTCAATTGGCGCGTTTGTCCGGCGATCAGCGTTTGGCGGCCCGTATCCAAGAGATACTTTTCCACCCCACCTCCACCTTCGCATCTTTATCTTTCGATTACTCGCTCGCTTGGCGAGCGTTACATTTTGGAGCCTCCAGGCGATTGCCAAAGTATCTGGAATCCGAAATCGAAATCCGCACACCAGCTACGTATCCACGTGTGCCGGGCCATTTGTATCTGTATCTTCGTGTCTAGTGTTTGGTATCTTGTGCGATGGCCCTGCAGCCGATAGTCACTGCGGCTCTTTATGGCCGAGCATATTTATTTAATTTTCGTTTTCAATGTCAGCCCCGCGCTGTGTAAATTATGCAAGCTGTCCGCCGGATAATGGGAATCGGATCGACTGCTGGTCAGCTGGATGAGCCACTGGCACTGCTTTACATGCGCGGCAACCACCCACTCGATTTCCTACTTAACGCCTTTTGCGGCAATCCGCACGCAGAACGGAGCGTTCTAGGTGGCACCCAGTGCGCATACAAAAGAAGTCGATTCATCACTGAGTTCGAAACAAAAGCGGGCGGAAAAAGGGGGCAAAGTGGGGAACGGGCAGCGAGGCGTGGTGCTTATGCGGGAGTGGAAAACCCGACCGCTTTGGGTCTTAGGATCAGCTGGGAAGTATCTCAGAACGAGAAAGATACAGGCAGTGATGCGCAGAGAACAAATATGACGTGCCTAAAAAATAATTCAAAAAATACATATAAGTGAGATATACTGTGAAGATTTCCAGTAGCAGCCACCCTTGGATTTTCAAATTATTAGCATAGCTGCGAAATCAGAGCTAGCGTTCCTATCGCATTGACCGCAGCTGTGCGTTGGCCACTGAGCCGCTGAAGAAGCCGCCCGCTTTCGCAACTGATACTGATAAAAACCGGTTCCTAAGACGCTCCTCAGCTGCTGATAAGAGATGTCCCGCCTGTTTTGTGCATTGTTATTATCGTTTTTATTATCGCTATGGTTATTGTTATTGCCAGTGGGTCGGCTGGAGGTCACGCCCGCCTCAATCGCAACCCCATTCGCAGGGCGATGGACGGATGAGGGCCAAGTGGATCGGATTGGATCCAACTGTCCAACTGTCAATCGATGGCTGCTTTCATCACCTCCACGTTGTGTTGCAGATACTTGCAACACACGGCTGAGTTGCAAAACACGAACGGGTAGCTTCGTTTCTGCGCATTTCAGTTGGCCGAGAGCAGATCGCAGATACTTTTGAACTGCAGGGTGCGCAGATACTTGGCTTTATTAAATGCTACAGATTATGTGTGCATGCTTAACGATTAGTTTAACTATTAGTTTGCTGCTCCACTGACTCATTAATTTGATTATTGGGCTGTTAATAATTAGGCAAACGAGCTGAGAGGCATACTTTTTGACTAGGAATTGGGCTTAATTGCCCGAATGTTATATTTTTTGATTGTATCGTGGTAGCTAGATGCTAATTGCTACTGGACATGATCGCCTAAAATATCTGACTATTTGAACATGGCAGTTAGATAATTGCGCTGCGAAAATTAAACCAAACAAGAATCAACGTTTTTAATTTGAAGGGCTTGTAGCTACAAGATACTTATCAGTGGATGAACATTCCAAGCTAATGGCTCCGTCATATTTGCAGATTTACACGTAAGTCAAGTGCCCAAGTCAACGATGGCCAACAGCAAGACGGCCTTCCTGGCCTTCCTGGCCGTGAGTTTCCTGTGCGGACTGGCCAGTGCCACCTACAAAGTGGGCGTGGGCCGCGCGGATATCACAGGACCTCCGGTGGAGATCAATTTCGTAAGCATGGGGAAGGGCTCTGCTGCAGCAGGTGGTCTAAGTCTAGAGTCTCCCCTGACAGATGGGCTATGCCAACATCAAGCAAGTGGGCCGTGGCATCCACACCCGCGTCTTTGCCCGCGCCTTTGTGGTGGAGGACGAGAAGGGCAACCGCGTGGCCTTCGTGAGTGCGGATGCCGGCATGATGGGCTACGGACTGAAGAGGGAGGTGATAAAGCGGCTGCAGGCGCGTTATGGCAACCTGTACCACAACGATAATGTGGCCATCAGTGGCACCCACACCCACGGTGCCCCCGGGGGATTCCTGATGCATCTGCTCTACGACATCTCCATTCTGGGCTTCGTGCCCCAGACCTTCGAGGTGATGGCTCAGGGACTGTATTTGGTGGGTTTCAGCTTCTATCGCCACCTGTGGAGGAAGTAATGAGATCTGTATTGCAGTGCATCAAAAGGGCGACGGACAACCTGGTGGATGGTCGCATCCTGCTGTCCAAGACCACGGTGCTGAATGTCAACATCAATCGCTCGCCCTCCTCCTACTTGAGGAATCCCGCCGAGGAGCGCGCCCAATACGAGCACGATACGGATAAGACGCTGACCCAGCTGCGATTCGTGGACCTGGAGAACAATCTGCTGGGCGCCTTCAACTGGTATGCGGTGCACGCCACCTCCATGAACAATACCAACAAGCTGGTGACCAGCGACAACGTGGGCTATGCCGCCCTGCTCCTGGAGAAGGAGTACAACCCGAACAAGATGCCTGGCAAGGGCAAGTTCGTGGGCGCCTTCTGCTCGTCCAACCTCGGCGATGTGTCGCCCAACATAATGGGTCCCAAGTGCTCCATATCCGGCAACGACTGCGATCTGCTCACCTCCCGTTGTCCCGCCGGCGAGGGCGACTGCTTTGCCTCCGGACCCGGCAAGGATATGTTCGAGAGCACCCAGATCCTGGGCCAGCGCCTGGCGGATGCCGCTCTGGGCCTGCTCAACGAACAGAGCCAGGAGTCCACGGCCCGCGAGGTCACCGGGGATGTGCGGTTCATCCACCAGTTTGTGGACATGCCCAACTACAATGGCAGCACATACAACCCGCTGACCAGGAAGATCGACAAGGTCAGGGGCTG